TATGTGTATTTATTTTTAATTGCTTGTGGGTTTTGTTTTAATTGTGAGCTGCCCAGAGTCACCTGTTGGGGGAGATGGGCGGCATACCAATGAAATAAATAAATAAATAAAATTATTTGTCGAATCTCTAGCTCAGATAGTGGAGTGAATAAGAGTTGTTTATGTGTATCATCTAATTGTGGTAAGTTAATTTTATTGAAAAAAGCCTCTATATCTTCATTCGATACATCCTCTGGTTTACTATATAATTCTGAATAACATTGACAATTAATTCAATTAAAGTTTTATACATTTCGTCTCTTTCACCTCTAATGATTGGAATCATTGCCCTATCTTTATTTTGCTTTAAACAATTAGCCAAGATCTTACCAGGTCTTTCACTGTTCCCCCAGTATCTCTGTCGTAAACATGTTAGCATAAATTCTGTCTGCTGTGATATTATAGTAGTTAACTCAGATTTCTTTTTCTGTACTTCTCTGTCTCTGTGCCCATAAATGTTTCAATTCATCTTTCAAATTATTTTCCCTTTTATTTTTAATCTTATCTGCTGTGATATTATAGTAGTTAACTCAGATTTCTTTTTCTGTACTTCTCTGTCTCTGTGCCCATAAATGTTTCAATTCATCTTTCAAATTATTTTCCCTTTTATTTTTAATCTTATTTTTGTACGATGCATAAGCAATAATCCTACCTCGAATGTATGCTTTATATGCTTCCCATTCAAAAATCTGAGCACGATGTTTCAGAATTCAAATCAAAATATTGTAAGGTCTCTACCAGCATTTGTTGTACAAATTTTTTATCACTCAATAGGGAAACATCTAGATACCATAACCGATTTCTGAAACATACATTTCAAGGTAATTGCACTATGATCAGATACAAACAAACAAACAAGAAAGTGTTACATTCTTGAATTTGATGATAGAAGGTTGACTATATTAAAAAATAATCAGGTCTAAAAAACTTCTGATGTACATTTGAATAAAATGTATTCTCTTTTAGTTTGATACATCAAATGCCAGGGGTGTATTAAATTCAACTCTTCCATATAAGTCTGAATTGTTTCCCTCACTAATGATTGTTTTTTTCATGCTGGTATATTTCTATCAAGCTCAGGATCCAATATTTCATTAAAATCTCCTCCTATTATCAGTTTATCATAAATACACCCATTCAGGTGTTAAAAACATTCAGAAAACGTAACAGGAGAATCTAAATTAGGTCCATAAACGTTAACCATAGCTATTTCTGCTATTTTGGTACTCAAAATTAAATAACGCTCATTTACATCAGTAATAACTTGCACCTCGATTGGGAATCCTTTTCGAACCAGAACGGCTACACCTCTAGCTTTCATCGAAGAATCTGTAAGGTAAACCTGTCCCACCCAATCTTTCATTAATGGAGATTTATCCTGTCCCATTAAATGAGTCTCTTGTAGATCAGCAATATCTGCCCTTAACGATTTTAAAATATGCTACGACTACATTTTGTTTCTTGGATTCTCGTAATCCTTTTACATTTAAACAAATTAACTTCATTCCTAAATTTTATTTTGGCCCACTTATCAATATTCTCCCCAAACCACTTCACTTTATGGCCTGTACCATTTAACAAATATCTAATAATAAACTTTTCTATGTTTAAATATGTAACATATTTTCTAGTACTGCTCGTAGACGTAGAACCTCCATAAAGACTCCATTTAACTTTCATTCTTTTACGTATATATAGAATCTATACTTATTCTTGACATGATTATATACATAAAAATAATTAAAAAAACCAAACAAGTGACAGGATAAAAAAAAATTAAAAGGAATCTTGAAGAAAAAAGAAAAAAATATATATGGGAGGAAGGGGGGGGGGGGGGCAGAAGTTAGTGACTTCCCAAAGGGGATGGCGTGGTGGTTTCATCTCTCTCCTTACACTGAAAATTACTGAACAGTTTCAAACGTTACTAATTGAAGAAAAAGAAAATACTGCTGTGAGTTGAAAAATAAGTGATAAGAGTTGGCAGTATGCCAGGCTCTCTAAATCTAGAAATAGGCAAAACAAACACAAATCGAAGTACAGAAAATAAAAAATTACTGGCATGTCGACTTTTAAACTGAGGCTTTTACTGCAGGGAAACTCTGACTTCTCCTGCGGCAGATTCCGTAGCATGAAACAGAACGAAGCTTGTCCGTCTGCAGGCTTTAAAGGTAAGATAAAGGCCTCTGCATTCAGGGGATGATCGAATTTGTGGATCTCATCTTGATAATTAACGCAAAACGTAGACGGAAAACGCATAAAAATCCTGAAGTTGTATTGATCTGGCAAGACTTCGAGCTTTTGTAAACACTTTCTTTTGAAAGCTCTCTGGTGAAATCAGGATAAATTGATATCTGGCTTTGACTAGAGACCCCACTTCAAAGCAGACTTTACTGATTCCTGGAGAAATATACGTAAAACCTCATCTCTTGGGGTAACACGGAGGAATTGCACAATAATAATATTGGAACGAGTTCCAGTTTTCCTTCTCATTATAGGAATTTTAATCACATGATCAATCTCGACTGAAAAATCTGTTCTCAAAGAAAGGAGCTTTCTGAAAAACATCTTCCATAAATTCGGCCAGGTTGACTTGGAGGGTTTTCAATACCAATCACACATAGGTTTTGCCTACGCCATTGTGACTCCAGATAAGGAATTCGTTTATCCAAAATATTATGGCTGGCTTGAGTTATAGTCTCACGGGCATTTAAACGATCCTCATAGCGAGCCTTTTTTTCCCTTGCATCGTTTTTAAATCACATTGAAGCTCTGCCAGATCTTGTTGGATCGGCTTCAAGAGTTGTACCTGAGCCAGGATCTCTTTTAGTAAAGCCGCAAAAGCCTCGGCAGATAGTGGCGTAGTGAAATTGAGGCAACTGTTGAATGCTTAGGTCTAGCTGCCATTCCAATAGTTTGTTAAAAACAAAATAACACGTAATGCGAAGTTTTATTTACCGAACGATGATAGGCCTTATCCGCACAGTCCGATAAAACAGAAGTTTGAAAGCCTTTTCATTGGGAAAGAGGTGGGCTCACTGGGGCATCCCAAACAGGAAGTCCAATCTGTTTTTATTTCAAGGACTTACAAAAGAGTACCCAATGCATTAGGAGAGCCATGGCTATGAATCCATTCTACAACCAGGAGAACAGTAACATTATGTGCTTGAATATTATTTTACTGTTGACCCAAAGAAAGGGTAAGCCCATTAAGAACAGACAGTCCTAAAATTTAGCTCTCTTAAACGTATCATTATATAGGACAGCCTACTTGGCTTCGTTCTTCCCGTTCAAGTCCTTCTGTCACAATCCTTGTAGATGTATTATTACCTCTAATGCCAGAAGAAGGGAAAGGTGTGCAACAACAATGGCAATTTGTGTGTGATTACAAGAGACCCTGCTATCCAACCTGGATCCCAATTCCCAACAGCTGGGTAGGATGGCACCCCCCAAATAAATTTAACAGGAGCTTATAAAAGAGTTCAATAGGTTTTTTTCTTTTCCATTTTCCATTAGCAACTCCTTAATTTTAATTTTGGTTCTTATCTTGGGAGAGCTTTTCTGCAATACTTAGCAACTGATATCTCTCTTGGGCACCCCACCTTGATGTATTTACAATGCCCTGCACCTATTTTTTGCAAACTGCCACCAGGAGGCAGCAGTTCTCCATTAAGTGCTGCGACGCCCATCAAGATATTATTTTAGGAGATCAGTCATCAGCCAGGCTAGAAATAGCAGAACTGCAGAGTTATGGCTACCCTGCCAAAAGAATCGGGACTTTGAATCTGAAAGATCAGTCTAGCTAAAGTGTGAAATACCAACCCAGAAGCAACCATATCATTTCATATATCCGGCAACTAAGGTGGGTGTGGTAGAATCACAGAATATTTGAGTTGTGAAGGACCTTACAGTATAGGTCATCTTGGGCAGCCCCCTCCTCGTTGCAGGGAACCCCTACCCCATCCCCAGCAGATGGTCATCAAGCCCAGGTTGCAAGGGAGAGCCAACCAACTCTTTGTAGAGTTTGTAGGAAGGAAGGGACCACCCACATTCCCTTCTGTGGTTCAAAATCACCAAGTCCAATCTCTTAAAAGACCAGTTTTTCGTATTTTTCCAGAAAACAACCCATTTGATGTTCTTCAAAGCAAGGTGGACTTACAGATTTCAGAGGGCCTATGTTATCCACACAGGTATATAATATAATAAGAATATAATAATTAGGTGAAGTGATACAATACCTGAAAAAGGTGACAAAGAACTGCACCAGATCCATAAAGTTACTGTGCTGTGAAAATGCAATCTGTAAAAAGAAAATGAAATTAATTATTGTTATTGCAATTGTAACTCTGGTTACAAATTAGCTTGTCACAATGAAATCCTGTTTCATTGGCTAGCATTAGCTTAATGCCTATCCTGGAATCCTTATTCAGAGATTTTTACAATCAACCTTCCTGTTAGGTCCCAAACAGGCTTACAAAACATAAAATGGCTATTTTCTCAAAATCACCACAGAACAGCAGCACACTAGACATATTTAGAACTACTAGAATACACTCTCACACACAATATTCTGAAAATCTGACTCCTAATTAAATTAAATTAATATTAAGTGAATAATAGACTTCTTCATCTTCATCATCCTCCCTCTTTGAGGTATATATAACTCAAGGCGGTGAACATACCTAATACTAGATTTCATCTTAGACTGATGGATAGAAACGCTTTACTTTCATACTAGGCCCAGACCATTCCGCATCAAATATTTTGCAATAAAAATCCTGAAAGGTCCTCTCCTCAGATAATCCAATGCAGAAATCATGAAATCTTCTTCCAGATGTTCTTGGATGGAAAGCAGAGTCTGTTTAACGGTTTGTGCTGCCTCTTATCTCTGCTTCTGAACTATGTCCTTGTGAACATCTTCAGATATTAATGAACCCCTCGTGGAAAATCTCTCAGATACAGAGCCCCTCATTTTTGCCAATAGTCCATCTCAGGGATGGCAGAAGCCCAACCAGCCTCATCAGAGCACACCCCTCAAAAACAAGGCATGGCCCTTTTAACTGGAGCAAAGCTTTCATGGGAAAAATGAGGTTCAACACTCTCTACAGCAGTTGAGGAGAAGATGCAGACCAGTGCTGCTACCAACATACCGATTATCCACTCTCAGCTTGGCCTTGTTAGTTAGCCAAACCTTGTTTCCAACACCAAAGGAGACCACCCCAGTTATGCTGCATTATTCGCACCCAACAATCACAGTCTTTGTAGAATTAGGTAGCAGTAGCCATTCTGGGTTTGAAGTCAGGGAGAGCTGCCTCCGAGAACAAAGCTAACCCAGAGCTGGTCACTCAGAACAGTCCCTGGCAACATAACAGAGAACCTCCTCTGAGCCTAGAAATTCATATGAAAAGTGATATACGGCAGGATTAATCCAAAGCAATTTAACCAAACCATTTTTCCCCTTTCAAAATAATCTTAAAAGTGTATCTCCACTATTTTCCATGATGCAAACAGCTGACCATTGCCTTCATGTTGTTCTAAAGGCATATTCCATTTTTAAACATTTTATTCCTCTATTTTCAAGACTGATTAATCACCATATAGCTAAAAACATAAATCAAAACTATGTGAGTCATGTTTTTTTTTTAAACACACACACATACAATCAATTAAAAACAACTAAAAGCAGTACAAACTAAAAAAGGCATGAAATGAAAATCTAAACATGTCAGGGAGATAAAAACCTTAAAAACAGCAGCAGAAATGCAAGAGGATTAGAAGGCCCTTGAGAATAAAAAAAAAGTCTTTTCTGCTGCCAGTCTGGTTGCTCTGGGCAGACTCTGCCGCACCTGAAGGACTATGGCTTATTTATTTAAAATACTTTTAGCTCATGCACCAACAGTTGGGTCTCATGGCAGACTATAATCCATTAAAAACAAGAGAAAGACAGCAAATCCAAGTAAAATAAACCAAAAATCAGCTATAAACACACAATAATAAAAAGTAGCCCTGAGAGGCCACCTGGGACAAAAGATAGGGTCACGCAGTCCCCAGTAATGGCCCATCATCCACCTTGGCAAGAGAAGACAGCCAGAGTGCCATGTATTACGGACACTGCTTTCCTCTCTTGTAGACTACTACCCTTATCCCATCTTGTGGAAGAGCAAGGAGCAGGCTTAGATCCTCTTGTAACTGTAAACAGAACTGACCCAACCATTGAATCAACAGGAATGCCCAGCTATTTGTGTTATGCAGGCCAAAATGGACTTCCAATGCAATACTCTTTTTGGGACATTTCCAACAAAATGGAGGTCTTCAGCTTTATCACATTTCCAACAGATGTCATTCGTCATATACACCATACTCATCCTCAGCCGCCCACCTATCCACCAGCCAGCCAGCCAGCCATCTCAACATTGCAAGAACTCATACTTGCCTGAACATCTCTCTCTCTCTCTCTCTCACTTTGCAAGAAATCACGCTTGCCTGAACTTGAACTCACTTGAAAGAACTCGAATGAAAGGAATCAGACGCCCATTAATGGCAGAAGAGGACAAGACCATAAAGAGGAACTCTGGACTCGTCCCTCCTGCAACAGACTTATTTAAATAGATTTGATGTCAATTTACAGGCAGAGAAGCAGTAACCTACCCCACCAGCCACGGAGCTAGCTGTGCAAGTTATGAGGCTGGCACATGTTGTGTATTTCATTTCATCAAATTAGAGAGCAAGGCAGGGTTTTTGAAGCTGGCAATACAGAAAGAGCTTCCAGGATTTTCTGGTTCCTATTTCGGAAAATTGGAATGTGGAAACAAATTAACATACCCCACAAAAGTGCACGAAGACTGACAAGGCTGAAAACCCAGACTTTCCAGATGGATAAAACAGAGAAATACACTGTGCCTGCCCTGTATAAAATCTTCCGGCTTTCTTCCTGCCACCTCTATTTCTTGAATTTTAACATTCAAGTCAAACAGGCCTCAGAAAGTAATATGAGGCTGCTGTGGCCAGAATTCTAAGTGTTTGTGTTTCTACTGAAAAACAATGTTCTTAATATTTCCAGAACCATGCCCCAAATTATCAAGCTATTTGTTTTTGCTTTGGACAGTGCAGTGTACAGAAATAATAATAATGAGGAGGAGGAGGAACATTTCCCTTGAGCACAAAGTTGAAGATTGATTTTATTTTTATTTTTCAGGAAAAAAAAAAGGCTTCCTTGGTAGAGATTTTGCAACTGAAAAATGCATGTTCCCAATGTCGGGCAGCAAATCAAGGCTTCAGCGTATGTTGAACAGCTCTTATCAATAAAAACGCTTATCATTCTGTGACACATTGGGGAAGAACAACAAAAAGGATTTCATATTTACCCTCCACAGAAATGCGGGGGGGGGGAGAATGATTCATAAAGCTCTCCCTGCAGTTGTGTGTCATTAGTATACTCTGATACAAGAACAGCAGAACGCCACACCATATTCTGGAATCAAAGAGGTAGCCGTCTACGTCGTCTAAGGAATCCTAATTGGGGATTGGGGAGGGGGGGTGCAAGGTAGGAAGAGGCACTTTCTCTGTTTTAAGTCAGTCCTTCTCTCTCACCTTAGTCTACCTTTATGACAGCTTGTAATCTGAAAACATAGCTCCTTCCAGCCAACCCAATAAAGGAGGGAGGGAGGGAGGAGAAAAAAGAAGAATGAAAGGAAGAGGGAGGGAGGGAGGAAACTGTGATTCCCAAAATGATAACAGAAGATGCCTGGAGTTGTGGGGGATCCACCACTAGATTGAAGTTTTCAAATAAAGACTGGAGATGACGGGGATCATCTGAGGATGCCTCTCCTGGCCAGGGGATTGGATGAGAAGATCTGCAAGATCCCTCCCAGCCATAGGATTCTTGATGTATAGAGAACCAAATGAGTATCTAGGCAAATGAAAACATTTGAAAAGAACCCCCACCCCACCCTGCCTTTGGCTAGAAGCCCTTTCATTTCAGAGGACACAGGCTGGGGAGAATTCTGTTCGTGTTTGGGAAGGTGGAGGCCAGAGGGTGGACATCATGGGAGTTTTAGGTGCCCACAGAATTTTAAAGGCCCTTTGTGGGGGATAGAGGTCAGAGCAAGAGAAAGATATGTTGGTGTTGATAAAAGAAGTTCTTTCCAACACGTTATGATCAGGAGCCTTGCAGAAGTTTAGTTGTCCAACTCTGTTAGTTGTACTCAATGGGAGGCAAGGAAAAACCAAGGGGTGCTGTACTAATCAATTCCCAGATAAGCTGGTATAAGTGAGAATGATTTTTGCATGCATATGGAGCAATCTTTCATTTCCCCATGACTTCAGAACCCACATTAAGCAAAATCATGTGGGACTCTACCTCCCCCCCAAGATTCCTGTGGCCCCTTCCCTTCTCCTGTTTTGCAAGGAGGTTAAACCAAGACTGTTCTAATGTGCTTTCCATCTGAGCTAATCAGTTTGCAGCACACTTCTTGGGGGGTGTTATTTTTAATATGTGTTTCATTCTGGTTTGTTTCTTAGAATATTGTTGTTACTACTATGCTACATGTGGCCCAGAATCTGTGAGCTGGGATGAGTTAGGAAAAAATGCAAAAAAAATAATAGAGTTTTAATAATATGCACAGTTTGCATCAGGCACAAAATAGGGATTGGTTCAGTGTTTCTCAGCCTTGGGAACTTTAAAATGTGTGGACTTCAACTCCCAGAATTCCCCAGCCAGCATGCTGGCTGGGGGATTCTGGGGGTTG